ATACACACAGATGTGTGTGGGCCCTTCAGATCCACCACAAGGGATACAAATCGATTTTATGTAACATTTACAGATGATTATAATAGATATGGTTATATTTACTTAATCAAAACATAAATCGGATACCTTTGAAAGTTTAAAGAGTTTAAACATGAAATCGAGAATCCATTGGGCAGGAAGATAAAGATGCTCCGATTAGATAGAGGCGGAGAGTATCTTAGTATCGAGTTCTATGACTACCTCAAGGAATGTGGAATAGTTTCACAATTGACCCCTCCTATGACACCACAACTTAATGGTGTGGCTGAGAGGCGCAATCGAACCTTGGTGGACATGGTTCGTTCCATGATGAGTCGAGCTTCTCTTCCAATTTCATTATGGGGGTATGCCTTAGAGATTGCCGCCCATATTCTTAATCTTGTCCCAACAAAGAAGGTTTCCAAAACACCTCACGAGACGTGGACAAGGAAAGTTCCCTCGTTAGCACATATCAAGGTTTGGGGTTGTGAAGTTTTCGTTAGACGAGTGACTCACGACAAGCTTGAACCTCGAAGTGAGAGATGTATTTTCATCGGCTACCCACAAAGTCATTTGGATATTTTTTCTACAGACCTAGTGAGAACGTGGTCATTGTAGCACGAAGAGGAGTCTTCGCGAGAGAGAGCTCATATGCAAAGATGACAGTGGGAGTACCATTGATCTTGAAGAGATTCAAGAGTCAAACGATGAAGGAACCTCTGAAGACGCTAGGTTTCAACCAGAGGAAGAGATTCTAGTTGAACCAGTTTGACAGTTTATTACCTCTCCGTCGCTCTAGTAGAGTTAGCATGTCACCTGAGTTATATGGTTTCCATATAACTACAGACGGTGATACGTTTATCAGTAATAGTACATTAGTAAATTTGGGTGAGCCTGCTAACTATAAGGAAGAAATGGCTGGTCCTGATGAAGCCAAATGGAAAAAGGCAATGGACAGTGAGATCAAGTCCATGTATGACAATCAAGTTTGGAATTTGGTTGATCAACAACCTGGTCGGAAGACAGTTGGTTTCAAATGGATCTTCAAGAAGAAGACCGACATGGATGGTAATGTACACACATTCAAATCACGACTGGTTGAAAAGTTCTTTGCTCAAACCCCAGGGATTAACTATGATTAGACCTTCTGACCAGTGGCTAAGATAAAATATGTTAGGATAATGTTAGCCATAGCTGCCTTGCATGATTATGAAATTTGGCAGATGGATGTCAAAACCGTTTTCCTTAATGGGAAGTTGGTTGAGGATGTTTACATGAGTCTTGAAACAACCTTGCAAGAGGTTAAGTCTTGCCTTGGAAAGTATTTCGCTATAAAGGACCTAGGTGAGGCTACCTATATTCTGGAGATAAAAATTTTAAGAGACAGAAGCAAAAGATGTCACACCGCCAAATCGGAACGACGGAAACGTCCGGGGGTGGATGACTTCATGTTAAGTATCACAACACATGCATCATAGTAATCAAAGTAACAACAACCATCGTATTGATAATATAATATTTACATTGTGTTCAAAACATTACTTGAAATACATTAAAAGTACAACAAAAGTTAAGACATAAAGCTCCGTCTTCGCAACACCTGAGAGGTACCTGTCTACTAACGTTCCTGAGAATACAAGTGGTTTGAAAAAGTGTCAACATTAAAGTTGGTGAGTTCATAAGTATTTTTTTATAAAAGTATACTCTTTGTTCTTTGAAAAAGTTCGCCTGTTCCTCCAGAAAATCCTATATTTTCTTAATAAGTAATATGATTGTAGTTATTCCTTCTGTGATCATTTAGTGAATACAAATTATATATAATACAGATCGATTAGACAGTTGAATGTGTGAATCTGCCCTAAGCCCACAACCAAACAAGGAACGGGAAATGAGGCGGAAGTCACACATTCCACTGTCTACCGGATCTTTAGTATATATAATCCTAATGTATTCATCAAGTAATCACATAATTAACATTAATGATTCTCTAGTAGAATGGTAACCACAATAGTTCATTCTATAATCACTTAGTTTATACTAACTATATATAACCTAATATCGAACGGACAGTTGAATGTGTGAATCTGCCCTAAGCCCACAACCAAACAAGGAACAGGAAATGAGGCGGAAGTCACACATTCCACTGCCTATCAAATATTATTTATGTATAATTCTGATGTATAAACTAAGGAATTATAGAATTAACCATTAAAGGTCCTTTATGTTATACTAGTTTGATAATAGGTATTAAACCTTTTGTAAATAAGTTCCTAGTTCCATTTACTCAATTGTAAAACATTGTTTTCAGTAATAATTGTTATCGTGTTCAGAAAGTTCTATCGAAAACTGTTTACCTTTAAAATAACGATGTTTACCATAGAAAATCCTATATTTTCTATAAAACCGACTGGTAGTCTTAATCGTTCCAAGATCGAAAAGAACAAGTATAATTAATATACTTACATTAATGATATCTAGTTTTGTTGATAAGTTAAACTGGTTGCAGACTTGTTTGCCCTGAAAACCTGATGCCACGATACTACCCTCCTATGATCACTTAATACATACGAGTTGTATATAACCGAGATCGAATAGACAATTTAATGGGTGAATTTGCCATAAGCCCACAACTAAACAACGAACGGGAAATGAGGCGAAAGTCACACATTCCACTGTCGATCAGATTTCTATTTTATCTAACCTTATTGTATATACTGAGTAATCATATAGTTAATATCCCTTGGGAAAGTTTTAGGAAAAGTATATTACTACGTAAATATATCGTTATTTTCTCCTTGTGAGTTTTATGACCATACTGATTGATATGACGTGAATCGAACGTCGATATCGTTTATGACGTTTGTCACCCGCAGACCTGCCGGTCCAACTGTAGCTACCAGTAGAGGTGAGGGATGTCGATCCCATATAGATCTATACACAAACTCACGCTCTCCCTCCAGGAAACTCTGGTTCATAAATGTAGACTTCCACTGGTACTTAAGTAAGTACACAAAGACACGTCTCACAAACTAGATTAACGACTTTACAAGTAATAATGCAAAAACCTTTTTATAAATAACTGGTAATTTTGTAAAAAGATCCCTTTGTTCCATAAACTATATTTATCATAGTTTATAAGTTTATTTCCATGTTTAACCTGGACTTTGTAAAATAGTTCATATGATCCATAAACTATACCTATTATAGTTTATAAGTTTGTTTCCATGTTTTAACCTGGACTTTGTAAAATAGTTCATATGATCCATAAACTATATCTATTATAGTTTATAAGTTTATTTCCATGTTTTAACAAGTTTCACGTTTAAATTCATATTGACGGTAAGATAACGAAAGAAGTAAAATTACATTTTTAAACACAAGATTTCTTGTGTTTTACTTGTATTCCTCCTCCCCCCCCCCCCCCCAAAAAAAAAAAACAAAAAACATTTAAAAAGCTTGGAAAAATATGGGGGTATGAACTCACCTTATTTGAGTGACTCGATAGAAGATTTGGTATAGGACGTTAGCTCCACAAGTGAAGTCCCGTTAACAAAACGAGTCCTAAACACGATTCATAATATATATATATATATATATATATATATATATATATATCTATATATATATATATATATATATATATATATACTTATTAATGAATATAATCATAAGAATGATAGGGAATCGAACTAATTTGTAAGTTTAACTTACAAATAAGGGTGTTAGATGCAAAGTTTGAAGGCTGCAAGCTGTTCATGTGCAGCTGTGTGTTCACGGCCCAAGAACACTTGGTGTTCTTGAGTTTACGGCCCAACAATCTTAAAGAATGATGAACACTTGAAGATCCTAAGCAAGTTCCCTTGAAGATTAAGGGAAGAAGGATGATATTTGAGATGGAATTGAGAGTTTTCGGTTTGAAGATCTAGAGAGAAAAAGAGTGTGATTTCGGCCAGAGGTGAAGAAATGAGGAATAAATTAGTCAAACTCATATATATAGGGAGGAGTGTACGGTCCGAAGGAGGGTTCACGGCCGAGGACAGTTCACGGCTCAGAAGTGGGTTTGCGGCCCGAAGTTTGCGGCCGAGTGTGCGGCTGCGAACCGAGGTTTGCAGCTGCGAGGTTTGCGGCTCGGGCAAAGGTTCTCAGTTCCTAAGGTTTTCCCTCCTTAACTCACTACACTTTTGAATACAAGGTCCTTACACCTATAACTCCTTACTCTAACTATATTAAGATAATTAAAGAAATAATTTGACCTTTACTTTATATGTTTGATTTTCATCGATCAAATTGACTTTTACAAGATTTGAAATTATGGGGTGTTACAAAAGACTAATTAGATAGGTATAAACTAGTTAAATGGGATGACGGTAATATTCATCCAAAACCCACGATTGTTTTTAACTGAGCCTTCTACTAATAATATTATATGAAAATATTCCATTAAACATGAAACAACACACTGATACCACAATTTGAATTGAGGACATGTCTTATTGACATATAATTAAGAAAATTATTTAAACCGTATATTATTTTAAGTGAAAAGAGAAGGAAGATAAGGTTCGAAGAGAAGAATTAGACTAAAAAAATCACCTAACTTTTGTTTTTGTAATTATCTTCTATGGATGTTTTAAAACGTCTAGAGTCCTTTTAATTTAACAAGGATTATGGAGTTTCTTATGATTTTTATTAGCAACTTTTCATATACGGGGAGTACTACTTCTGTGAATTCAAAACCCACGATCTAAAAAAAAAGGGTGACAGTTATATTCATGAAGAATCTCACATTTGAAGTTAGTTCCTTAATTGTAATAACTACATTAAGGTTAATTAATTTATAATTACGTCTTCGCGATTTTTTAGTAGAAACATGAACAGTAAGACATGCATATTCAACCAACATGAATCACGTGATCAAATAGTACTTTAAAAAAATCTTATGAGTAGATAATATTTGTTAACATAGTTATTAGGGGGTGGGTATCAAAGGGAGGACATCTATATATAATTGGTAACGATGTGAGCAAGTAATTCTCATTCAAGTTCTAAAGAGATATGGGGCTAAGTAGTAGAACAGTTCAGATTAAGATCAAGTCAAGCGGTGATGTTTTTCACGAGTTATGGAAGACAGACCCCCATCAAGTTCCCAGCTTGACCCCAACTACCATCCAAAATTGTCAAACCCATGAAGGTGAAGTTGGAACCGTGGGCTCTGTGCTTTTCTGGAACTATTTTCATGGTAAAAAACATATATGCCCCTGAAATCTTTCTTTATGATCTGTTAGCTGCAAATATGATGTAAACTAATTTCTTTGTCCACACAAATACACTTGAAATCAAAGTTTTGGTTGATATATATTTTGTTGTAGATGGAAAAGACCGTGTTTCAAAAACACAAATCATGGAAATCGATGAGGGCAAAAAGTCAATCACCTTCAAGCTACTTGAAGGTGATCTCACGGAATTATATAAGACCTTTATTATACATGTTCATGTAGACACAGATGGTTCAAATAACCTTGTCACGTGGACTGTGGAGTATGAGAAGCTAAACCCTAATGTTCCTGATCCAGATACGCTTATGGAATTTTACGAGAAGGTCACCAAAGACATAGAGACTCACCATCTCAAGAATTAATCTAAGTCTCATCTCTAGAATTAAATAAACCAAAATCTAGATCGCATCAATATGGGTGGCATTTAATAATTGATTTTGGATGCGTCAGATGCTGCATGCGCTATCTTAATTGTTTATCTTATGTTTATTGGTTGTGTTCTATGTAAAAAAGGTGTTGCTTTAATTAATCGTAATAATTTTATATGCTAAAGTTTAATTATGTAGCAAACTACTGTACTTATAGAAATTGGTTTAATTTTTTTTTTCTTTTTTTACAGCGAAGGGTATTATTAGTAACTAGTAACATGCTATGACTCTAAGCAAAACTCAGATCCATAGTTGACCTCTCTCAAGCCATCTACCGACTGATTACTATGAATGACGTCCGCTAGCACCTATTTCCATGTTGGTAACTTTTAGGGATGAAAATGATGGCCACGACAAATATAAGCAACACTTCTATTATCACTAGCTAATCATCAAAATATTTGGAAATAAATTTGTTTGCAATTAACATTGATGTATATTTTGTCGCTAAATGTGATCAAAAGGCCCTTGATGTTTCGTCGATAAAATTTGTCGTAAAATTATGATGATATAAGCATTTTGTGATGGAATTCTCTACCCTCATTTTTTTTCATGCCCAGTTGATGCAAATATGTCGTTTTTTCCATTATTTTGCGAGCGTGTTTATGATTTAGCTATAGATTTTCCATTTTCTGTTTATCTTTAACATTTTGTAATCATGGGAACTAAAACGTCCCAATCAGAAGAAAGCATAAAGGAGTATGTTGAAATAGTATAAGCATAAAAGGCAAATAGGAAAGTCAACTAAGAATCCATTGGTTATCTTATCTGGTGAGCTCTTTCTTCCTCCCTCTTGCCCACCACCAACAATTTTGTGGTGTGATAACATTGTGTTATATACTTAGGGTGTTTGGTAAAAAAGTGTATTGCTTATTAGCTTATAAGCTAATAAGTTAGAGTGAAGTAACTTATAAAAAAATTGTTTATTAACGGTTTTTTACTGTTATAAACTATTTCTATCCAAACATTTTTTTTAGCTTATAACTATGTGGACAGCTAATAAGTTAATAAACTCATTTGCCAAACACCTCCTTAATTAGTTGCTCTATTTTTCATCAACGCACAAAACATATTAAGATCGATGTTCATTTTATCAGTGACATTGTGTTTTCTGATACTTTACGAGTGTGTTATATTCCTATGGTTGCTCAACTAGCCGATATTAATCTTACTAAGGGCTTATATGTCCCTCGTTTTGAAGACTGTATGTAACAAGCTTCACGTTGCTCCTGCCGTTTCGCTTGTGAGGGGATGTTGAAATAGTATAAACATAAAAGTCAAATAGGAAAGTCAACGAAGAATCCAGTTGGTTATTATTCAAATAATAAACTCCTTTAAGGAGTCAAACTAGTATAAACATGTAGTCCAAGTAACTCTCGTAGTCTATAAACACTAATGTGCTCTTTACATTTACAATATAATTTACAGTATTAAAATTACTCTCTTTTTTTTCTTATCTACTTTTGCTCATAAACTTGAGAGAGAGAGAGAGAGAGAGAGAGAGAGAGAGAGAAGAGTGTGTGTGTGTGTGTGTGTGTGTGCGCGCGCGCTTGGGCCTAGTTTTGGTGCTTTTTGATGGTTGTCGTTGGAGAGAGAGAGAATGCATGGGCCTAGTTTTGGTGTTTTTTTATGGTTGTCGTTGGTTGTAGTAAGTGGTGGTAGCCATAGTTGTCAACTCGTGACTCGACTCATAAGAGTCACACGACACTAAAAATTATATATAAAAAATATATAACATCATGTATATACAAAATATAAGTTGACTATTTAAGCACATTCACTAATATGTTACACATTAGCTATGTAGGAGTCATACACTCGCAATTCATTGTCATATACGCGTCAAAAAGTATCAAAAGGACACATATATAGTATTTAAATATAAAATAACTAGTTATTTAGTAACGAAGCAAATGACAAAAGACTTATAGTGTTTGAATCATAGAAATAATCTTTAGGATTAAATTGGTCGTCATTTTCATCTTCATCTTCAACCAAAGTTGTCTCAAAACGATCTCCCTCCTCATCATCATCTAAATTCTAAACCATCAATTGTGCTTTTGTCTTTGTTAGACACTTTGTTTAGGTTCCTTGGTCCTACAAATTAATATAAGTAGTATTTATTATTTGTTGGCACTTTCCAAAAGGTTAATACTTATTAGTTCTTATAATATATAGTGAAATCTTAGTGTATAATTTCTCTCTTTCCTTCCTTTTATTAGCATTAGTTCCTTCATCTTCTTTAAAGCATTGATGAACATCTCATCTATGAGATATTTTTGGGGAGACTTTTCGGTAAGCTATTCTGTAACATCCTAATTTTCAAGGCTAGAAATTTCATTTTTTTTTCTAAGTAATCATGTGAAATCATTTATCAAACATTGCTAATATTATATTGATTCATAAAACTGTTACGTCGTGTCTCAAAAACATATCATCGGATAATAGTAATAATCAGAGTACAATCCCAGAAAACTCGATGCGGAATCATGTGTGAGGGTGATGTGCCGCTACCGCGCCAGCTCGTTCCCCTTCGCTGAAGAGGTACCTGAAACAAAACTGAAAACTGTAAGCACGAAGCTTAGTGAGTTCCCCCATCATTACCACACCATAAAACACATAACATACATATGCCATACTGCTGAGGAGCCAAGCCCCTACCCCTTCGGTCCTCTCGACCGGTGCCCTTGCCTAGCATATCTGGGTGCTGGCCTACCCCATCGGTCCTCTCGACCGGTGTCCTTGTCTAGCATATTTGGGTGCTGGCCTACCCCTTCTGTCCTCTCGACCGGTAACTGGGGACTATTTCACCCCCACTACTACCATGTAATATCATAATCTATCTAGCATAGCTGGGTACTAATCTACCCCTTCGGTCCTATCGACCGGTAACTTAGGGACTATCTCCCCCTACTACCACCACTATCACATAACATCATATCATGTTAGCACATAAAACATAACAGGTAGCAGCAAACCTAGATGAATATCACAAAGACAAACATCTAACGTACATCTCCTACTAGTGGGCTGGCATTGTGGCCGTAGACCCACTGCTACTGGAAGGTAACTCACCTCGATGTCGCGTAGAGTCTGCACTGATCTCGATGCGGAAATCGACTCTCCCCGACTCCTCGATCCCTACACGACAGCTCTTCCAAGTTATCAACTCATACTCATACTCATACTCATACTCGCAACCCTTACAAGGGTCAACCCAAACCCAATCAACGTCCAAGTCAAATCCATGGTCAAAGTCAACTTTGGTCAAAGTCAATCATCTGGTTGACTTGACTCGCCGAGTTGTTCTACCAACTCGTCGAGTCCGTGTCCCACTAACCCGATCCAACCCCGACTTTACTCGTCGAGTCTAGCAAGAACTCGACGGGTTCTCCTTCATCCAATCCATCGGGACCATCTTCATCCGACTCGTCGAGTTCATCCTCGAACTCGTCGAGTTCATCTCCTTCCTATGAATACATCCAGTCTATGACTCGCCGAGTTGTATGAACAACTCGTTGAGCTCATCTTCAAAGGTTGGGAGATTGCCTTGGACTCGCTGAGTCTGTTCACACACTCGCTGAGTCCTATGATTCTCATGTCCCTTTACGCGTCCAAACAACTAAGGGGGGGTTTTTCCATCCTAACAACTAGTCCATCCACGGAAGGGATTTGGGGGTCAAAACACTCCGGCTCGCCGAGTCCCAAGAACGACTCGTCAAGCCCAACCTTGACCCTTACTATACAATCGATTTAAATGGGTCCTAACACTTCAAAATCATAGATCTGGCCTCCTAATGTCCATTTTACACGTAAAGCTCCAAACTTGGTGCACATGTATGGGCTCTTTGGCTCAAAAAGCCATAAAAGGTGTTCTACAAGATGCATGGGGCTCTCATGGCCTTAAAGTTGGCACCTTTATGCCATGAGGCCCCTCCAATGACTCAGATCTGAAGTCAAGATTCCATGCACACCTCACAAATCCGAAAATGGCTTGGAAAGCCCTAAATGTACCCAAAGTCCAAGCTTCTAAGAATGAATAGCACATGGAAGACCAAGACAAGGGTGGTTTACCTTGATTGAGCTAGAAGTGGACCAAAATCTATGGATCTCTAAGCCTCAACTCGAACTCACAAGCTTCCTTCTTCTTCTCACGCTTCACACTTCACTAAATGCACCAAAATGACCTTAGAACACACAAAAACGGCTAGGGTTTCGATATACAGCTCTCTAGGAGTGATAAGGGCAATGGAGGCTGAGATAAAGTGTTTAAATAGGGTGCAAACCCTCAAATTTAGGGTTTCACCCCAACAGCACCTACTCGCTGAGTCAGTCTCCGACTCGTCGAGTAGGTCACTTAAACTTCCCGCGGATCCCGTCTCTACTCAACGAGTTGGGCCATCAACTCGTCGAGTCCCAAAGAAAATACATACAATCCTTGAATAAAATACATACCAGGAATCCAGTGTTACAAATCTCCCCCACTTATTTTAGGCTTCGTCCTCGAAGTCTGCTGCTGAAATTGGAAAAAGCTCGGGGTAGTGCTCCCTCATCTCTTCCTCCAGCTCCCAAGTCCATTCTGATCCCTTGCGGTGCTGCCATTGCACCTTCACCAGCTCCACCCTCTTGTTCCTCAGGTCCTTCGACTTCCTGTCGAGGATCGTCATTGGCCGCTAGATGTAATTCATGTTATCATCCACCTGAATGTCCTCCAAGGGTACCACCGCCGAGTCGTCCACCAGGCACTTCCGTAACTGGGAGACGTGAAACGTGCTGTGAATCTGACTGAGTTCGGCTGGCAGGTCCAACCTATACGCCACCTTGCCCACCCGGGCTACAACCCTGCAAGGTCCAATGTACCTGGGGCCCAACTTGCCCCGTTCTTGAATTGGATGACGCCTTTCCAAGGCGACACCTTCAGGAGGACCATATCC